CATGAATTCTAAAATGCAACTATGGCATCGTAGATTAGGACATTTGACTTCAGGATTTGAATTCTTCATTGAAGAAAGGAAGATTAGGTGGAAATAATATTGAAAATATGCCTAATAATGGGGAACTTAATTGCGAAATTTGCATACGCGGAAAATGACGCGTTCACATTCCCGAAGAAGTCCGACGGGGAATCGGAAATGCTAGAAATCGTACATACTGATGTTTGCGGTCCCATGCGAGTAGAATCTCACTCGAAGTACAAATATTTTGTCGAATTCATAGATGATTATTCTAGGTATTGCACGGTATTCTTCATGAAACATAAAATGAAGTTGTGCGAAAGACTCAGGAAAATATTACACTGGTCGAAAACCAAAAGAACAAAAAGATAAGTGCATCCAATCTGACAACGGGACGGAGTACACATGTAAGGAAATGGAGGATCTCCTGAAAAAGCACGGAATTTCACGTCGCTTGACTTGCCCTACACTCCGGAACAGAACGGTATAGCGGAGAGGAAGAACCGCACTCTCTTGGATACAGCACGTTGTCTAATCATGCAGTCCGGCTTACCTCCGATCTTTGGGCTGAAGCCATCAACACGGCCAAACTATTTGCGGAACAGATGTCCATCCAAAAGTCTGAACGGGTTAACACCATACGAAAAGTGGACTGGAAAGACTCCCGACGTTTCGCATCTCAGAGATTTGGTTGCAAGGTCTTCTGTCTAAACCAAGATCAGGCCAAGGAAGCTAGACGCAAGAGTAAGGAAGGAATTTTCATCGGGTATTCGGAACAAACGAAAGGATACAAGATCTGGTTGCCGAAGGAGAATAAATTCGTAATCACGAGGGATGTTAAGTTCTTGGAAAACGCAGAAGTCACATGCCAAGAATGGACAGATTTTATTCTGGAAGGATCATCCAAGGAGAATGAATCTGAGATGCATACTATCGAGGTACAGCTATCCCCAGTTGTCGAGAACGAAAATCCAGAACATGAATCTCCTACAACGGAACAAGAAGAGCCCGAGGTTGATCACGATTCTGAGCCACCCAGGCGTGCCCGCGGGAGACCCAGAATTCGGCGAACTGGTTCGAGGGGAAGACCTAGGAAAGATATACAGGTACAGGACACCCCCGAGAGGTTCAGCACTCTCTTCTGAAGAGGTATTACTGTCCGAGGTCCCGATGCATCAGCAGTCAGAGGCGAGGAGCTGACGAATGGCACAAGGCGATGGCAGACGAGTGGCATCTATCTTGAAGAATGGTACTTGGGAATTAATCGACCGACCATGTACCAGCACATCGTTGGAAGCCGTATTGTCCTGAAAACAAGTACAAGCCTGATGGAACTATCGAAAGGAGGAAGGCAAGACTAGTCGCTCGGGGATTTAGCAAAAGCCGGAACACATTTCAACGAGACTTTGCCCCTGTAGCAAGGCTTAGCTCCATAAGACTTGTATCTGCCCTAGCAGCACATTTAAATATGGACATGCAGCAATGGATGTTACCTGCGCATACTTAATGGAAGTCTAGATGAGACGATTTACATGGAAACCCCCGAATATTTGGATGAATCATTGAAGATTATTTGTGATAACTCCAAATACAACGAGGCTACCAGAAAGAAGGCTCGATCGAGATACCTTGAACACACTGGGAAAAGGTGATAAAGTATGTCTACTTAGGAAGTCACTATACGGCCTGAAGCAAGCCGGTCGGAGCTGGTATCAGAAACTAAGCCAGCACTTAGTGAATGCGGTGCAAATCCAACTAAGTCCGACCCATGTGTATTCACCAGTAAAACAGGGAAAGACATTATGATAATTGTCACTTATGTAGACGATCTGATTATCGCCACGTGACAAAAAGGCAATATCGTCCCTAAAAGCCAAATATCTGAAAGATTTGAAATGAAAGATCTGGGATCAGTTAATCATTGCCTAGGGGATGGAATTTTCACTCAAGGAAAACAAGATAAGTCTAAGCCAGAGAGCATATATCTTGGAAACTAGATCGATTCAACATGGCGGATGCGAACACTGTAAGCACTCCACTTGATCCAGGAACGAAGTTAAGGAAACCGACGGAGAGCCCATCTAGTGAAGAGCTGAAGTTACCTTATAGGGAGCTTATAGGTGCGCTAACCTATCTATCGTTGGGAACGAGACCCGAATTAGCTTTGCAGTAAGCTACTTAGACAGTTCAACAACTGTTACACTAAGGAACACTGGACAGCCGCAAAGCGAGTACTTAGGTACCTGAAGGGCACCATCGATCACTCGATAGTATACCAACGAGAAGACATGAATCTGAGAGGATTCGTTGATGCTGATTGGGCAAACTGCCCTGACGATAGGCATTCGTATACCGGATTCTCATTCATCCTATCAGGCGGACCCGTATCGTGGGAATCGAAGAAGCAAGCCACAGTGGCATTGTCTACCACCGAGGCGGAATATATGGGTACCAACCGAAGCTGGCCAAGGAAGCAATCTACTTGGGCAAGTTCATGACCGAACTTGGGTTCGAAAGACTCGCTAACGTAACCCTGTATAGCGACAATATGAGTGCTATAAAATTGGCCGAGAACCCAAGATATCATTCCAGAAGTAAGCACATCGACATACGTTACCATTTTGTGCGGGAGGCCTTGGAACAGAAGAAGTTTAAGTTGAAGCATACACCATCTTCTGAAATGGCCGCAGACGTATTGACGAAGGGGTTGTCGAGGACAAAACATCGGAAGTGCATGGAACTTTTGGGATTACAGACGACGGACCAGAGCCTGTATGTGTCTGCTACGTCTCGAGGGGAAGTGTTGGAACGCGTACTAGCGTCACCCCGCCGCGCCGCTACTGGCGAGACGACCAGACAGGTTGCCTAACCTAGAAGCTTGTAACCGCCGTCCTGTCCCCGCGCGCCGCACCACAGAATGAAGTCCAGTCGTGAAGAGTCAGTCGTGGGAAGCAGTCGAAGTACAACAACGGCCAGCACACGCGCGCGGATCGCGGAACGCGGAAGCCTGATCTACACCTGTAGCCTATCTACCTATCCATGTACATGGTACTCAATAAACTGTTCTG